GCAAGGCACCAGGTCCGGGACTTGAACCACGGTCAGCCATGTGGGAGTCCTGTGGCCTTAACCTCCATGCCACCTGCTGGGCCCAAGATTTTTAACAAGTTTTATTTATTTATAATTATTTATTTATTGTTATTTTAAATTTGCTATAGGGCATGTATGCTTAACAGAGAAAGAGAGAGAGAACACGTGAGAAAGCCAGCTACCTGGTCCAGGACGTGAACTGTGTGTGGGAGTCCAATGCTTTTAACCACCATGCCACCTGCTGGCCCCTTTTAAGTTTTGTGGGGTTTTTTTAAGATTTTTTTTTTTTGGAGAGGTTTTTGCCATAGGGTGCGTGCGCTCACCAACCAGAAAGACAGAGAGAGAGACAGAAATTAAGAAATCACCCCCCCCCCGGGGGAGGGGATGGCCCCACTGCAATCCCTTCTCCATTCTCCTCTCGGGATCTTGGGTAAGTACATACATGCGCTGGCATGAGTTTAAGTCACTGGGTCCAGGACTCGAACTGCGGTCGACTACATGGGAGTTCAGTGACATAGCCATTATGCTAACTGCTGGTCCCAAGAATTATTTTTGGGGGGCCAGCAAGTTGTGTGGTGCTTAAAGGCACTGGATTCCCACATGGCCAACTGTGATTTGAGTCCCGGACCTGGCGGCTTGCTTTCTCACTTTCTCTGGTCAAATTAAAATAAATAAATACAATTAAATCAAATCATCAAAAAATGAAAGAGTTGTTTCAGGAAAGAATGCCTTTCTTTTTTTTCTTTTTAGGAATTATTTATTTAATTGTATGTATTCATTCATTTATTTTAATTTGACCAGAAACACATGGAGAAAGAGAGAGAGGAAAAGTGAGAAAGCAAGCCACTAGGTCTGGGACTTGAACTGTAGTCAGCCATGTGGGAGTGTACAGTGCCTTAACCACCACACCACCTGCTGTCCCCCAAAAAGTTTTTTAAAGAGATTTTTGCTATAGGGCATATGTGCTTGGCAGAGAGTCAGAGAGAAACAGAGACAGAAAGTGAGAAATCACTGTGGATAGGGGATGGCCACAATGCAATCCCTTCTCCTCTTGGGATTTTGAGTATGCACGTACACATGCACAACTTTTAAGCTGCTGGGTCCAGGACTCCATCCATGGTCCACTATGTGGGGATCTAGCAATGTAACCATTATGCCATCTGTTGGTCCCAAAAAAGCTCTAATCTTGGGGCTGGCAGGTGCCATGGTGGTTGAGGGTGCTGGACTCCCACATGGCCGACTGCTTTCTCACTCCCTGCCCCTCTTCTCTCTCTCTCTCTCCTGGCCAAATTTAAATAAATAAATAAATAAGTAAATAAATTTAAATAAAATAATGCTTTAAAAAATGTTCTAATCTTTTTCAATGCTCTTAAGTATATATTTATCTGATTGCAGGAAAAGGCAAGAAACTTAGAAAATACATTTAAATAAATAAAACCATTGCTGGGGTTGCCTTTGACTCCATCAAACAGGTTGTTATTTCAATTTGATGTAAACATTATTGCACTCATGACCATCACAGAACATTTATTTCCTCTTGGTGGTGAGTGAAATGAAGCATTCATTTAGCAAATCAAGCTATTTGGTAGGTATAAAGAGGTTGTACATGAACTGTATGTGACAACCGAGAAAAGGCTATACAAAATTACTACTGGTTGCAATTGTGTTCCAACGTTTTGCTTTTCCCCTTTGGCAATTAAGTGCTCTCTCTGTCTTTCACACATACACACCCTTCCCAAAGAAGAGAGTTACCTGATTCTAGTATTCCAACAGGCCACGGAAGGTAATCAAGGGGCTGGCCCTGCAGGACAATGAGTAAGGACTATGTATTGGGAACCGGATCCCACATGGCCGAACAAAGTGCTAGTCCTGGTTGTAGGGGGTGTGCATGCATGCAAATCCTGATGGGATAGAGAAATGGAGGAACAAGGATTACGGCATGACCATGCCCCATGAGGGGCACTTTCTGGGAACACATGCACTCTCTGGCAATTAAGAGTTAACTGAAGGAGGCCCTACTGGCTGCCAGGCACTCTAGCTCAGAAATTTGTTAAGAATTAAACTCAGGCCAAAAGGTGGTATGGTGGTTAAGGTGCTGGACTCCCACATGGCTGACCACAGTTTGAGTCCCAGACCTGGTGGCTTGCTTTCTCACTTTCTGTCTCTCTCACTCTGGTCCTCTCTGGTCAAATTAAAATAAATGAAATTAAGTAATTGTTTTTTTAAAAAAATTTTAAAAGAATTAAATTTACAGGGCCAGTAGATGGTGTAGTGGTTACATCGCTGGACTCCCACATGGCCAACTGCAGTTTGAGTCCCAGACCGGGTGGCTTGAAAATCACGTCAAGCACATGTGTGCCCCAAATCCCAGAATGAGAATGGAGAAGGGACTGCAGTATGGCCATCCCCCCAGGGGGAGATTTCTCACTTTCCCTCTCACTGTCTCTGTCTCTCTGGGGAGCACATGTGCCCTATGGGAAAACTCTCTTTAAAAAAAGAATTAAAATTCATAAGTTCCCTGTTTGGGAAAGAGGATAAATTGCTCAGGATAGGTTCTAATTTAAACTGTATGGCATGAAATGTAAAACTCTAATAAATGTGTCAATCAAAATCTGCACTGTCCTTTGGCTAAATCACTTATTCAATTAATATATGTTGAACTGTGGCTGGGCTCTGGATACAATGGGATAAAAATCTACTTTATAACCACATGAGAATAGTATGTAGCTATTTGATTGTGTAGATCAACCAATCTATCTATATATTTAATTTGCTAGCGGGCATGTGTGCCTGAAAAGGGAGAGAGAGAGAAGGAAAGTGAGGAAACATCCTTCCATGGGGGATGGTCACGCCAACATTCTTTCTCCATTTTGGACGTGAATGCACGTGTGCCCAGTGTGTTTTTCAAGTCACTGAGTTCAGGAAGGATTTGAACAGCTCAGTTGGCCATGTCTCCCCAACTTTATTTTTAGGAGGGTAAAAATCTGAAAAGCTTCACCACAAAATGGCTAATTTTAGCTATGTATTTTTCAGTATAATATAAAAATATGTAAAAGTGGCTCCCTTTGGATGCTTATTTTTTTATTTTTGAGAGGTTTTTGCTATAGGGCATGTGCGCTGGCCAGAAAGACAGACAGAAAGCGAGAAAGAGAAATCACCCCTGGGAGGGATGGCCACGTCTTTTCTTCCATTCTCCTCTTCGGATCTTGGGTACGCAAGCATACGCACCTGGTGTGACTTTAAGCCACCAGGTCCGGGACTCAAACCGCAGTCGACTACTTCGAAGTCCAGCGACATAGCCATTACGCAAAGTGCTAGTCCTAGGATGCTTATTTTTTTAAAGAGAGATTTTTGCTATAAGGCATGTGCGCTTGTCAGAGAGAAGAGACAGAAAGCCCCCACAGGGTTGTGTGTGTGGGGGGGATGTATGTGTGTGTGTGTGTGTGTGTGTGTGTGTGTGTGTCTGTTACATAGCTTGACTGTGGTGGTGGCTGCATAACTGTTTATGGGTGTCAAAACATAAAACCTATCCACTAAAAAGCTGATTTTACTGTTATGTAAATTATATCTCTTTTTATTTATAATTATTTATTTATTTATTTCCATTTGTCATTGTTATTTTTTTTCTTTATTTGATGAGAGAGAGAGAGAGAAAGGGAAAGTGAGAAAGCAAACCACCAGGTCCAGGACTTGAACCATGGTTGGCTATGTAGGAATCCAGCGCCCTTATCCACCACACCACCTGCTGGCCCCTGTAAATTATATCTTAAGATCACCAACAACAATTCAATTTACTAACAGAAAAATATTTAAGACGTCACAGTAAAGTAGGGAGAAAGGTTGCATCTATAAAATTTATGCACACAGAGATGAAATCAGAAAAATTAAAAATATTCTGTTGAATGTGGAGACCATTTTTCCTTTTTTTGGTGGGGAGAGGTTTTTGCTACAGGGCGCCTGTGCTCGCCAGACAGAGAGAGACAGAGAGCTAGAAAGTGAGAAATCACCCCCAGGGGGGATGGCCTCGGGATCTTGGGCCCGGTGATTTAAGCCAAAACGCCAGAACCCAGGTCGACTACATGGGAGTCCAGCGACATAGCTATTACGCTAACTGCTGGTCCCGCATTTTTCCTTTTTTTTAAAAAAATAATTAATGCTCTAAGTTTTGGAGCTGTCAATAGTTTCAGACCTTAAAGATGAGTGTTTATTACATTTTTAAAAATGTATGGAAGGGCCAGCAGGTGGCGTGGTGATTGGGGGCGCTGGACTCCCACACGGCCCAGGTCCTGGACCTGGTGGCTTGCTTTCTCACTTTCCCTCTCTCCCTCTCTGGTCAAATTAAAAAATAGTAATTTTTTTTTAATGTAGGGAGCTGTACCCTTTAAATGAGTTTCCTCTATGCACCTTTATGTCATATGTGAAAAAAGTTATTTAGGAAAGTTTAAAGTTCTAGGTAGTGATGACAAGGGTGTATATACAAATGAAAAAAATCATCCGTTCAAACTAAGTGCAATCTACAATAAAATAATAAAGGTGGTCTAGTCAGCCCACGACCAGTTTACCTGATTCCCATCACCAGCATCCCAGGGCGCACCAGACACAAGCTCTACCTGCTCCCGCGCCGCCTGCTGCAGCGCGACTGGAGGGGACGCCCGCGACCCCCAGGGGGT